ATGTTTCTGAGATGACAATCACATCGTGGTTAACTGTGTCCATCACGTCTTCGTGCTTCACTGCCAGCATTTGTATAGAATACCTTTGATTTTGTGGAAAACTCTCCCGTATTACTCTGAGCGGTTTGGAGATCGTTTCGCTTCGAACTTTAACAATGTTAATACCCTTGAGTATAGGGATATTTTTACCGTTGCGCTGATGTTCATTTATTTCTACCACTGCCGATCGCCTTTCAATATGATCAACCAGGCCGAGGTCTGCACGAACATATATTCCGAATCCAGTAAGTTTACATGAATTTTCTGGTATCAGGTTTCATTCTTCAGAAGAAGCAAAGTAACTATTAGGAGGCGGCTTAAATAGGTAATTTTGGAATCCACTTTCTGTCCTAATCTATAAAGATTATCGATGTTAACTCCTGCCACTCTTCCGAGAGTAGCTTGCTTTTTAAGGACCTAATATGATTTTTTAAAGAGTTCAAATCTAGCTTTTATTCCTTTTTGGAATACTCTCTTAATTTATGAAAAATAACCGACCCCGCAACAAGATCCGTTTTGATAGGCTGTGATGTTTTGTTTCATGAACTCTTTTCATCCTTGCAGTCCGATTTGACGTCAGACGTGCGAGTCTCATTCTTTTGCCTTGATTTTTCAGATGCTACTGTAGATCAATCGTTGACCACATTTTGTTTCCTAATCAAATCATCTGCAACGCTTAGGCTTTGCTCCTGCATGATTTGTTTGTGTTGATATGGGAATCTGCAGTTAAGACCGTAAACTCATATATTTTAGAGCTCTCTGTGGTTTGTTTCTTCATAATGTACTTTCTCTTTTTCTTTGAAACCAGACCTACATATGTGTATTTGCTACCCACTACTTTATGAGTGTCCATCTCGGTGTTTTCGTTCAAGTATATAGATGGACTCATGATGACTCTCTCTGCTTCTCCAAAGTATGACAGCTGATTATCTGCTGCTGGCTGTTTATCTTAGGGCATCGTTCTAGCTGTGTTTAGCAGCTAAATCGCCTCAAAAATCAGCAGAGACTTTTTAGAGCATCATGCTTTGCAGGCCAACGTAATAGTGGCTTACGACGCCTTTCATATTCATAGGCGTGAGTCTTGTGCGCACTCTGTGATACCACTGGTTGTGGTTGTCACACCGCATTCCTTCTTCTCTCGAAAAGAAGCACATGGGTCCACCATAATGTTGTTTTTGAGCCATTAAAATTGTTAGGTGAGCTCACAGAAAGAACAATGCAAAAGTTTCTTTAAGCGCGGGAAAAACAAAACAACTGCTTTATAAAACATTCAAATGAATCACTTTTTTATCTTATAAATGAGTGCATTTAGTTGTATATGAGATAATTAGTAAAGATTATCTAGGTTTGTTACTGAAAACTCTTCGTTGATTGTGACTCACAAAAAGTCGCAGGGATAACAACTAATTTTCGCCCAAATATAAATCGAACTTTTGTGAAGGTTTACAGAAAATATATTCCGAAATTCAGCCGATCGCAAGGTATCGTACAGACAACTATAATGTAGATAACTTATTTATTTTGGGTTTTCGTACAAATATCAAAGTACATAATCCAGAAAATCTAACAGTTTTCTTGCATGGAAAAACGCTTCACAATATGATACAGAATGACCGTGGTATCAATATGAAACTTTGGATAAAAACATAACAGAAAAACATAGTTTATTTAGGGTTTCGTAGAGAATAGAGCAGCATTACCACTTAGATTCAACCAAATTTGTCAATGATACATATGTTATGTATGATTACATCATCTCGTATCCCTTAAACGCTAAGACCTATTTCTACATCTTTTCATAACCAAAGTTTGCAAACCGATGTCGAATTCTTCCAGTATTCCCCACTTTTTATGTGCACAAAAGAAGGAGGTATTTTAATTAAAGATTGTGTTGTATTAAATCGGTTTTCGGAGACACTTCTGTGTTTTGAGTCTGTAAATTTCCATAGCATAGTATTGTTTAGATTGAGTGATTCTTTAAAATTATCAGCATATACTTGTCAGTTGTTTGGAGCTAGTAGATATTATTTGGTATTTACTTATGAATAGTTTGGATGAATCACAGCTCATTACCAGACACTTGATAACTACAAGAAAAAATACTGGGTCATTGATATTTATCCTATTTACAATTTGGCTAAGTTAGTTGAAAACAATAATTATTGGCTAAGATTCATAAGTCCAACACTAGGAATGATTACAGAAGACAGCTGAGAGTCTTATCTTCTAAGTAAATGTGAAAAAGAAAAAAATTTGATCATGTAGTCTTCAGGTCATCTTACAGAATCTTCTACTCAAACACAAGCTATAGGTAATTTTAATTCATATTAGTGGCTTTGAAAGTATTATGAAAATTAGTCCAGTTACAGTCAGACTATTTCAGTAAGGGAACTAAAAATTTTTGAAAAAAGAATAACATTTGACTTCTTTCCTTATCATGAAATTCAGGTTAGGAAGGCAATCGGAACATCGAGTAGCAAAATTAAATTGCAGAAATTTGTAACCTTATGTAATAGATACGATTGGTACGTAGTACACTGAAAGAGATCACTAACCTCAATAAATTTATACAAAATGGAGACCAAAAACTAATTTTTGAGAGTGTTCCTATGGATATCTACACAGGGTATCGTGACAACGATCATAATCTAGAGTAGTGAACATTTTTACGATCTACTGTCTAATTCTACAGCTTCATCAAGGAAAAAATTCCAAAGATTTATGGTGTTAGAAATTTCTGACATTAAGCTTACTTACTTACGCCTGTTACTCCCAATGGAGCATAGGACGCCGATCAACATCCTCCAACCCACTCTGTCCTGAGTCTTCCTTTCTAGTTCTATCCAATTTTTGTTCTTTCTTCTCATGTCTGTCTCCATTTCTCGGCGTAATGTGTTATTTGGTCTTCCTCTTCTCCTTTGGCCTTCAGGATCCAATGTGAGTGCTTGCCTTGTGACGCAGTTGGGTGCTTCCCCCAATGTATCCTATTCACTTCCAGCACTTATTCTTGATTTCTTCCTCCACTGGAATCTTGTTTGTTCTCTTCCACAGTAGGCTGTTGTTGATAGTGTCTGGCCAACGGATCCGAAGTATCTTGCGTAGATAACTGTTAATAAACACCTGTATCTTCTGAATGATGGCCTTCGTTTTTCTCCACGTCTCCGACCCATACAGTAGAACTGTCTTGATATTTTTATTGAAAATTCTGACGTTGGTGTTCCTTGACAATTGTTTTGAGTTCCAGATTTTCTTCAGTTTTAAATATGCTGTTCTTGCTTTGCCGATCCGCGTCTTCACATCTGCATCAGATCCACCGTATTCATGGATGGTGCTGTCCAGATATGTAAAGGTTTCCACATCCTCCAAAGCTTCTCCGTGAAGTTTAATTCGATTGGTGCATACTGTGTTGTATCGGAGAATCTTGCTTTTCCCTTTATTTATATTGAGACCTACTGCTGCTTAGGCTGCTGCCACACTGATCGTCTTCTCTTGCATTTGTTGTTGCGTGTGTGATAGGAGAGCCAGGTCATCTACGAAGTCTAAATCATCCAGCTGCATCCTAGCTGTCCACTGTAACCCGTTCTTTCCCCTGGATGTGGACGTCTTCATGATCCAGTTGATCACCAGAAGAAAGAGAAAGGGTGAGAGTAAGCAACCTTGCCTGACACCGTTCCTTATCTCAAACGAGTCAGTGAACTGTCCTCCATATAAGACTTTGCAGTTTAATCCATGATGTTGACTATCTTCTCAGGCACGCCGTAGTGTCGAAGAAGCCTCCATAGTGTAGTCCTGTTCACGCTATCAAATACTTTCTCTTAGTCATTGTAGTTGATGTAGAGTGATGAATTCCATTTAATTGATTATTTCACAATGATCCGTAGAGATGCGATTTGGTCTATACACGAACGATCCTTACGAAACCCAGCCTGTTGATCTCGAAGTTGGGCGCCTACGGAGTCTCTCATTCTGTTTAACAACACTCTGTTGAAGACTTCTCCTGATATTGAGAGAAGAGTGATGCCCCTGTAGTTATCACACTTGCTGAGATCGCCTTTCTTTGTGTTATAAACAATAAAGATACTTGTTATAACTTTAGAGGTTTCTGGTTACAACAGTCCTTTCACTTTTTACACCTATGTGGGACGCTAATTTACCTTAGACGAATATCTACACTAGATTCCCACCCAGTGTCTGTTCTACAGGACTTCAACACAACTCAGATCAAGAACACGAGATTAGCCTGACTACGACGTCAATATATTTCCACACCAAAATCCGACACAAGGAACAGTCAATCAATAACAGTCCATCAATAAGTGTCCATACATAATAAGGATAGGGGAATATATATAACACATAACACCTGTCATCCTATCTAATGTCTGACTCATCAAGACAACCAATCATTGTCATTCTCACCTGCACATCACTTTGGTATCTTGATCAGAAGTCCTTCTTTCCAGTCTTTCGGTACTCCTTTTTCATCCCAAATCTTACTGAAGAGAATGTGGAGTATCTTCGCAGTTGCTGCTACATCTGCTTTCAGTACCTCTGTCGGAATTTTGTCTGATCCCGCTGCTTTGCCGCTCTTGATTTGTCTCATAGTCATGCTTATCTCTTCAATTGTCGTTGGACAAACGTCGATTGGGAGGTCCGTGGGTGCTACTTCGATGTTGGTTGGGTTCAGTGGAGCTGGTCGATTCAAGAGTTCTTTGAAGTGTTCAGTAGATTCGACGTTGCATAGATCAAATCTACTATAAATCTAAGATCCTCAAGGTTCTGTGATTTACTAAATCCTTTGAGAGTTCAATTGACAGTCTGCTCAGAGACTATTTAAATAACAGTTACTTTTTATATTTGAAATTATAATTGGCCATTTCAAAACACTGAGAGGTTTTATTTACAATGAAAGCAGATGCTTAAGAAACATTTAAGCATAACTTGTTTCGTCTATATTTCAGTTTCAAAAGAATTTCATGGCTACGCTGAGCCAGAAGCGTCAACAAATGTTATTATTAGTCAAGTAAATTCAGTTTCATTTTCCACTATGTATGCAACATCTCAAGAAACTACGTCTCGGCCATCATTTTCAAATGATAATGAAGAAATGTACGAAGATAATGTATTGAATAACAATCTTGGTGTACCGTTAATCGTTGTTGTGACAAAGGTAAATGATTTGATGAAATATATCATATTTAAAAATAACTCATAAATAAGTAGGAATTATTTCCTTTTTTTAGTTGTTATCTCGGCAACACTTATCCTTTTGCCTCTTTATTGGATTTTTGTTTGGTAAAAAAATTGTCATCAAACAGAAATAAAAGGCCTAAAATCTTTGCTTATCATGCTTATGAATTTAGGCTATATCGAGGCAGTACGCACAGTATTCACATAAGCCAATTAGAGACTGACCAGTTGCATTCCTAAAACCATCAATGGGAAGATCCGAACAAACGATACTAAGTAAATTTCTAAAATAATTTCGTCTAAAATCTCCCAAATCAATCCCGAAAATCCCAACGATACTTCAAATATGGTATGTTAGGAATAAAAGCGACGTATAAATATAGAAAGACGAAGTAGTGATTAGGGGATAATTACATGAAGTCCATACTTATTGAGCTTAGGAAAACAATCAAAAATCTTACCTGTACTAGACATATTTTAATGAGAATGTTTTTGAGTTATGTCCAATATTCATAATATGTCCTCACATAACTTATCTAGTACCTATCCAACTCACTATTTGATTTATTAGAAGCATGAGAAATTAAGTTATACTTTCCAGTAGATTTAAAGTTGTAACTGTCACCCATCCAGTTTGTCAATGTTAACAGACGTAAAGTTTGATGGGGGGGGGTGTATTGGTGGCAATTATATTACCGCAAATCAACTCAACCAGAAGAAGTTAACTTTATATGAAACGTAAAGTGGTCAATGTGACCAACTGCAACGGAAACCCGAACAAAAAAAATACGGTTAGAAAGTAGAAAATTTCGACTTCAGAATGAAAGGTCAAGAATAATGTTATGTCAAGATTTAGTGGAAGAGTGAAATTATAAACATGGCATATTTCATTTTCGACTTGAATGTTTCTACTGATGTCACTCAGTTAAACATTACGTGTTATATTTGTGATTTTCTATGAGAATTTTACTCCAAAACAGAGATAAGTAGTTATAACACTCAGTTAATAAATGAATAAATCATCTTTTATCGGATTTCATTATAAGAAATTAACATTCATTACTTCATTCATTAAGGAACAATGTAACCTTATTAGATGAAATTTCACTGAAAACATATATTCTGCAAACACACGCTTTGACACTATCTGGAATTGTTACGGAATAACATTTTGTTCTACTTGAGACTCGTCAGCTGGAAGTACCTGGATCCTAGAGTTGATGGGCACCTTAGGACTCGAACACAGCACCGGTCGCCTTAAATGACATTGGGTTATTTATTTTGCTCATGAGTTCAGATAGCCACTGGCTTGTGAAATGAGGTACATCCAGCTGACAAGTCCCATGGAGGACGAAACGTACGTCCTGGATTCCACTGGTAGCCACTATTCATCTCCGCTTATGATGCTTATGACTTCGTGGCAATATAGAGATAACCCACACAGGATGGATATGTACCAAAAAAAAAACTAATCCATGGCAGTCCTCATTATCAATGGGAAGATGCAAATAACCAATACTAGTGAATAACCCTATAACTTTTGCAAAGTTTTTTAGAGTTAAATAAAGAGTTATAGTTTATGCTACATTGTTCTTTTGAAAATTTACAATAATTGAACTCATTCACAAAATATAATGTAAAACAATTGTATTACTACTTCTATAGATTAAAATAAATTCAATAATTCTGTACAGATTAAATCTTACTAGGGTTAATTATTGAATGAGATTTTATGCATTTCATTTATGTTTAGATTAATGACATCAAAATATCCACTGCCAGACATTTTATTCAAAAAAAACTAGTAAAACAATACCTTTAAATTCTAATAAGATCATAATTCAGAAGGGGTTTTTATGGAGATTTCAGTATTTTCATAGTTGATATCATGAGTCAATTGAAGCTAGACCACCATGGGAAGCCTGGAAACACTGGACGGCCTTTTCGTCCTATTATCGGACTCATGATTTCAACTATGAAGATCATAATTGTTTATCTACACAAACCATTCAGCTTAGAGAGAATAAAACTCCATCAAAATCATCCACCTGAGCTACGAATCTCCACCATCTCATTAACAAGTTTGAAACAATCAATTTTAAAATATATTGTGAAATGTTAATTTATTAGTAGGTTAGTAGTCCATAATAATTTTCGAATATTATTTCCAGAATAAATGATATTCAAGATCTTCCTTCTTTTATTACCAACCTAATCCTGTTTAAGTCTCTTAAATGATTGAAGTCATTTTTAAATCTAAAACATAAATTTATTAATTAATGTTAAAAGAAGATAAGAATGAATAAGTTACAATATATTATCTTGAAAACTATCAAATACTTAGCAACGAAAATTGGGTGAACAGAATTCAAGTTTGATCTTTTCCAAAAAATCTACATTTCAGCTGTGTTCATGACATTCGTATCCTTTTACAAACCAATAAACATGTTTAAATAAGTGAAATGGATTTCAATAAGCGACCTATATTAAAATAGCATCGGATAAGGAGATCTTACTGATAATCTATTCTAAGGAGTTAAATTGACATATATCACTTGACTTTAATGAATGCATTTTTACAGTTGTATTGATGGTAACATATGTGTTACGAAGCTGCTCACACACACACACCCGTAATGTATATAAAAATGAAATCACACCTCTTCTGAATTTTCTAAAAATGTAGGTCACTATTATGAATCTTCTAACTTTAGATGAAACATAGACTAGAGATAGTTATAACCACAAACTGACGACAAAGAAAAACACGGTGAGAACCATAGAGCACTGAGCAGTTTTTCTGTTCTATTCTGGGACTATTCTATAGTGCACACTCTTGAAATAACACTCGATTAGAGCCGGAACCTTCGGGTTTCGTAGAGAGTTCAGTAATATTGGTTTACTGACCTAAAATCAAAGAACGCTTGCTTTAAAATTCAGTTGATTCTCAGTATAGCAAACTCAACTGTCATTTACTAGTTACTATCTCATTCTTGATTTAATCAACGCCGTAGGTAATGGTTTCCCATGAGAATGTAGAAATCGATTACTAATCTAGTCAGCGATGTACATACAGGACTGTTTGAAAACTTCGTATGTGGTGTATTAAAAACTTACTTTCTCAATGAAGAATGGTAATCTCCAACTATGGTGTGAGCTTTGATATAAAGCCGGCAGAGTAATTCTGTAGATGCAAAGATCGAATGATGACCATTTTATAAATTTAGAGTTTGCTGAGCCAATGATAGACACAGTCGAAAATTGCATTCGTTTTTGTATATTTGTCTGATTCATTATTAAGAAAAGACTTCTAGGAGTACAGTTTTGATAATACTAAAATTATTTCTTTAGAAAAGTGCTTTGTATTTAATAAATATAAGCTGAGATAATTGTTCACTAAATTACAGATGATGCATAGAGGACAATTAACTCATCAAATAAGAAGCCATTAATTTTAATAGATTGATATAACTGTTTTTATGTTAAAAAAAGAACGTTTTAAGAAAAATTCTGATTCAATTAGGGGATTACGTATCTTTATGTTCTATCCCACTTGTTAGTACATATGTACTGAATATGCGTGCATTAAAACCAATGAATTAATTTTACTATGATTCTTTCTCCTTCTAATTTTGAATATACCAAGAACAATGGAAACCATGACGTCATAACAAAATTATTTAAAATGAAGATAATCATTTATTATTCTGGTTCACTGGGTGATCTAATACAAAGTACTGTAAAATCAAGTAACTAAGATTATCATCTTACAAGGAAGAACTATATTACTGTAATTAATCATTGTTAACATCTATCAACAATAGAGAACAATTATATGAATAGGAATTTATTTTTGACTCCAAATAGATATTTTTTGTTACAAACACGTAAAGTTCCTTTATCATGTGATTACTTAAACTGGATATTTATTTACTCAGAGAATATGTTTGAGAAAATACAAATTAAAAACGATAGAATGTTTTAATCATACCTCTTTGTAAGGTGGACAAATCAATCATTTGATATATGAATCACTAACCTGAAATTGTTTCTTTATGAAAGAACTATTTAATTTATTCAGTTATTTGTACGACCGTAAGCAATAATATAATTTGACTCATTGACCACTTGGTTTATATTGCATTTTTAATCATTTTTCCTTAAAAAAAAAGAGTACCAAAGCCTCGTCTGAGTTTGTTAAATTATTCCACAAGCAGCTCAGACTGGCTATCAGATAGCGAGTGAACTCCAGGAGACTACTATTTATTGCTTTAAAACTATGAATAATACACTTCATTATATTTAATATAAGAACACTGTTGGCCTTTGGTGGAATGACCGAGCGAATAATGTGGGTCTTCTGTTGATAGTTATAGGTAGATGTGGTGAGGTTGATTTGACTGTAAGCGATTATTTATATATGGTGCTCATGACATGTGTTTCATATGCTCGGTCACAAAAAATATAGCAGAGTAATTATTCTAGCTAGTATTAACGTAGGTCGGAAAAGCTTTCGAAATGGCCTAACCACTACATGTCATCAGTTCATTTAGTTAAGAATTGAATATCTGATCAGAAGTTGCTATCTGCCTGTATTAGTCAATCAGAAGTGACCAATATAGACCTAACCTTATAGATTTCTATGTTAGAAATATATTATCAGTCAAAGTTCTGATGCTGGGACGTTTTAATTCTTTCTGAAGATGTAAAAATAAGACTTAAGTAAATATTTAAAACTGATAACTATTTTTAGATTTCCACCGATTGGTTTCATTAAAAGAACTTGAATTTGGTTAAAACTCGTTTTTGGTAACTTATGACGATTTGAGCTTTACAAGGAACTATCAATTACGAATATCTATGTAGAAGAAAGTTTCACTTCCTTATGAAGTTTTATGATGATGTTATCTTACTTGAATATGGGTGGAGCTGGAAATAAACATGTTTCACAAACATCAAAAGTAATATTGAGCATGAACTATTCATTAACTGATATCACAACAATTTCTAACAGATAATTAAATAAAAACAATTATTATTAATTATAACATATTAATGACTGATCAAAGAAAGTTAAGCCATCAGTTTAAATTTATTCTTTGATAAATGACAATCATTTTAGTTCATGATAAGTAATTATAAACTGACATTCTTAAACTACTTAAATAAATTTTTGTGTTAAACGGTAACATCTTTTTACTGAACAAATGAATCGAATAACACAAAATTGTGATAAACATTCCAATCTAAAGATATTTTCATTACGTATTAACATTAACCATAGAATCTTCCTATCTAGTAAAAAGTGAATATCTGCTTCTATTTCATTTGAAAAGGTTTTGCAGTCTACATTCATAAACAGTTCAAATGTGTCAGGAGTAATGCAGCTACCAATTAATGTGATCTAGTGATTGCTACACTGTATTGAAAGGTATGGACGCGTATGTGCGATTAAATTACATTTAAGTAATCTAAAAGTAACGCAATTGATGCAAGATTAGATGGTTTTAATTTCAAGTCGCTAACAAAGTTGTGAATACTATTTCTTATTAGTTCGAGACTAAAAATGGGTGTTGTTCTAAGAGAGTGACTTAGTTAGCAGTAATGGTGTAGGAATCAAAAGACACCAAGCCAGGACATTAAGGTTATAATAATAATAATAGTAATATTGATAATAATATTAATAATAATAAAAGTTCAAATAAACGAAGATATGGATAAACAGAAAAATTATTATTTCTTCAGAATAGTAGTATATTTCGTATTTAAAACAAAATATATGGTTAAATTATTTACAACCACAATATGTTTTTTAACCTATACTACCAACCACTGACTAAACTTGTATACAGTGAGCTCAGCTATTAGTTTACAATTTCTTATATTATACAGTTCATTAGTAGTCAGAAACTGTACTCCATGGAAATTTTTACTCTATTCAATACTTATAAATATAATAATGAGAGATTTAAGAAGAGAAAATGAAATAATGTATGATGATTTCAATAAACATTTACTTAACGTTACATGGACTATATTTCAATGCAATATTTTTTAAAAATTTCGCCTAACAATGTTTTATCCTAAAACTAAAACAGACGGATTTAATGAAGGTAATGATCAAAGAAAATCAATATTCAGAAGAACATTTTGATTTTATACAAATGCATATACGACGATTTTGTCTTTCATGTGAGTTGTTTTGTTTTTCATCCTTGACAACTGATAGGTTTCACTTATTAGTATCATGACTTAATGATTATTTTTAGTATTTCGACTTTGAATTATGTAACATCTTGATGGATTGATAATACAGTCATTAGTAATATTAAGGATTACTAGGGAATTGGTATGCAATTAAAGTTGAGTGACTGATCAACTCAATCATCTCAGACTGATTCCTAATACAGTAAAAGGTCAAGTTATTATTAATTTTATTGTAACAATCAGACGTTGCTTGAAAGGTGGATTGCAATAAAATATTCTTTTTCTGATTAGCAAAAGAGTAGAAATTAACAAACTGAAATAATTAAACAGAACAGGGTTTGCAAACCTCGTTTTTTTACTCTATCTAAATTAGAGAAAAATCTGGCAGTGTAAAAAAACTAAATGTTATTTTTATTGTGGATAGAATCAATTTTAAGAATTATCCTTTCAAAGAATTTTGATCTTCAACGACTTATTTTTCCGAAAATAGAAATTCTCTTATTACAACCAAGTTACTCTTATTGCTTAGTATTCCTGGACACTACTTCACTCGACCAGTCCTCGAATCAGAACACAGTTGAACAGAAACGTATTTGTATTTCGAATGACAAGGTTGGATAGAGGTAGGAATCACAATAAGAAAAACGTTAGTATATTTATAATCTTTACATAAGATTCTAGAGTCTTCTCCAAGTATCCGCTAGCGCTAATTGGTTACGAAATAGTCAATCAGCGTGCTCCGAAACACTCCTGCATGGAAGATGCTTCAATCTGATCTATATCCCACTAACAAAGTTATTTATTATTAGGATAATGAACCTAGTATTTCCGTTTAATAAGGTGTTACGCGAATGAAATCAATTTAAATCTTTGACATCGCATAAATACTCTCAAGGTTCTAGTTCATTATAAGTAAATACCGCTTTTAAGTCATTCTCTTGGAATGACTAACAAGGATTTAATTTGTATTAAGTTGTTTACAAATGAACCCGAAACGAGGTACTAAATACTCAAAGTTGGAACATTTGTGGAGTCATGCTCTCGGAAAACTATGACAATTGTTGAACTTCGATGTTGATAGTTCCTGACATCACAGTCCACTAAACATACAAATAATCCATAATGAGCATGTATAAGATGCAGTTTTTCTTAAAATTTTATTCACTACAATACGAAAAGACTTATTCTTCATCAAACTACTGCTATTTGAAACGTACAATTGTATATTATCTTATAAAAATCTGTTATAGATGGAGCAGCGTTATTCTATGTGTCAGTGAAAGAAGATAAAAACTGTGATTTACTAAATCGTTACATTCAACATCGTATTTATGGGTTTCCTTTTAGTCAAAGTGCGTATATAGTAGAAGGAGATTGTGTTTTCATGTAAGTGACTAACTATCAAATGTATTTATCCATTGAGAACTTAAAAAATATTTTTGTAATAAATGAGAGAATATATCAATCTGATAGAGAACATATAAGTCGGAAGCTATTTTCTGGTTAATCAAAACAAAATTTTATAATAATTACTGGTAGATCCTGGGTTCGAATCTCGCGAGGCGAGATCGTGGATGCGCACCGCTGAGGAGTCCCACAATAGGACGAAACGACCGTTCAGTGCTTCCAGGTTTTCCATGGTGGTCTAGCTTCAATTGACTCATGATTTGAAGAATGAAAATTACTAATAAACTAAGTGATTCATGATATTATATTAATTCCACTTAGATTATTAACTGTTATTGTTTCTTTTTTCATACATAAGTTACTATAGATTAATTACAAATCTATTGCTCAGAACTTGTACTAAAAGATCCTCATAATATGCACAATGTGATTTGTTATTTATGATACGTTCTGTACTTGTATTGCATATAATCACTCTAGTTTTAAGTTCATTAATGAATAAAGATACTAGTTTGGGTTTATAGTGATCTGATTGGTAGTTGAGGATGTTAAATTTTTTATTTGGATAAGTCGGCGTTAGCATTTACTCTAGCTGAGTAGTGAAATTAGTGTTATTGGCGTAAGCGGGAAATATAACAATGTCGAGATAAATGTAAAGTTCAGAGACTGGACGACCAGAGTCAAGAAAAAGCCCGAAAAATTCTATGGACTAATAAAAGGCCTTTCGATTTCTGATAATGGTTCGAAGAGACTGATGTTCTATATCCATATGGACTAATAACAGCTGATGTAAGTGAGGGCCGGAAGGAAGCTAAGGGAGACTAAACAAAAACACTATATTAGTCCACTAAGTCAGTAACTGTTAGGTTGAGCTATATTACTAGGTGCAGACTACCTGATCAGGATCCGCGTGATTATCGCAATCATGGGTTCGAGACTTGAATGACATAGCACCAAATCGTTCTCAGTGGTTCAAGTGTATTCAATCTTTGTCTTGCCTTAGACAATAATTTTCTAGATCCTCTTCAAATTTCTTTTGCGTCACTAACAGGTACTTTCTCCTTAAATCGTATCTGAAATGCCTAATTTCTTCTATTACCACTAATACCCTTACTATTTCTACTGCTCTGAGGTTCGCTCTAACAATTTCATCTCTCTATGGAGATAAGGTTTAGAAACTTGCACCAATGTACACATGTTGCAGGTTCTACGTTGCGTATTACTAACCGATATGAATCAATTCATATGACGTTATGTTTTGGATTTACAGACAAACATTTAAGAGACCTAAATAGATTTTTCATTTATGTAAAATCTGTTTACCCTTGGTAGTGCTATTGTTTTCTTATCCACAGAATATTCACTTTTAAAAAATCTAACTGATTAGCCAAGAATAGACTAAAAAGTTGGCGCGATTATTTTAAGCTAGCCCCCATTCTGTGCTCATATCCACAATTGCTGCCACCTTGGTTTCCATATGGCAGTAAAGTAGTCTTAAAGACTACCAGATGAGACCTTTTAGGAATGAACGAATACCTATGAATGATTGATATTTCCGAAGTAGCCTTTGGAAGTAGCTACAATTTACAATGATGATATTGTTTTTAATGAATATTATGATCTCATATTTTGTAAAATGTTTTTCTTGGCAAGAAACCAGCTCTTTTATTTAATAAAGAAATATACAGTTTTTAGAAATCTAAATAAGAAAAGGTAGACAAGACAGGCTGAATACGAAAAACATATTACAAATATATATCATTTAAACTGTCTCAGGTCAAAATAGCAAATAAAATTAGCAAAAAAACGAGTTCCGAAACGAGCATGAAACTGATATCTATATACTGATTAAACAAATAAAAGGAATAATACTAAGATAGTAAAATATAAATATATGTTCACTATTGTGAACTGACATCTGTTCGTTTAAGATTTGAAATTGCTTATTTTATCTAGTTCATGGTCTAAGAGACTCATTAGTTACATGTTTGAGAACTGTTGGCGTTAATTTGCCTCCACTATCTGTTGTTACAAGCCTGTATACAATACACTTCAAGTGATGGCTTCATAAGGGCCACCCAGTCCTTCAGATACACAGACAGTTAAAATACTGTATTTCTTATCATGTAATCTGTTGTAAATATCGATGTTATAAAGCAATATTTATTGACGAAAATTTGGTAAAGCTCGCTCATTAACAGTATTACCGTATCCTCTTCTACTTATCACTGTTTATATCGTAGATTAGAAACTCGAACGTTAATAAATTCTTAATTATTCAATTTCAGAGATTCTAAACAGTGAACGGTTAGTGAAAATGCTGCCTTAGGAATTATAGTTATATGTTAGTATTAGTCTTGTAACTTGTTTCACACAAAAGAAATCTATCGTCTGTTATCAAATTATGTGGAATCAGGTGATTTGATTTGCGATTGAAGCCATTAAGGAACGTATTCTCTACTTATTCTCATCAATCTTTAATCCTATGATGATACATGTAGTTAAATAATACAGGAAATAAAATTTGTTTTCACATGGTCTAATGATTTAGCATATATATATATATATATATATATATATATATATATCCTCCTTCTGTTTTTGAACCGGGGTAGTATTCTGGCTCTCACGCAAATAGGATAATGAAGTGTAGCGCATACATATTTGGTGCCTTATATCAATGTTTCTGTGTTTAAATAAATAAATATACGTATCTACATTAAATTACTACAACATGAATTTTATATTGACATTTTATAAAGATCTTTGGTTCATCTCTTACAAAGCCATCAGAAGAGGTAAGTTTATACTTAAAACTGAAACACAGCTTGTAGACATGTGAAAATGTCCAGATGAATCCACTACTAGTTATACATACACTGTGCAAATAAATTTTAAAGACTTATATATTTTCTTATACTAATAGTATGTAGCAGCTAAGAAGAGATTTAAGGAAACAGTTAGATTCTCTTTGTATTTTGATCACTCTCAATTGATATATGTATTCTAAGCAGATTATCTGGATATAAACATTATTTCACAAGTCTTTTTTGGAACAGATGGGATGTATCTAGATGTGGAATTCGGGATGCTTGTTTCGTTCTGTTTGTGACTCGTCAGCCTAACGTATCTGCATCTAAGAGTTGATATTTAGTTAGAAGTTTCAAAAACTGGCCATTACATAATTATTTTTATCAGAAGGGGTTTTGTGGAGATTTTAGTAATTTATAGAGTTGAGATCATGAGTCAATTGAAGCTAGACCACCATGGAAAACCTGGAAGCACTGGACGGCTGATTAAGCATCTTATGATTGCTTTAAAAACAAATTTATCTGTTAAGTCTCATATATAAGGTATTACAAAACAAGGCATGGAACATTGTTTTGGAGAGGTTTCATTTCAATTTTCAGATTTTCACTGAACAGTTTACGGTGCTATATCATTGGTAGACTGATATTATCAGTAAGATCATTAGCTCTAGAGTCCAAATATAAAAAGGTGATAAGTCCTACATAAAACAAAATCTGTGTCGTGGATTTCAGTGTCAGTGATTATGAAAAACAAAAAAAATATGGAAGCAGGAGAAAAGAGTATAATGACGTTCATGGTTATACAAGAAAATATTTTGCATTTATTCTGTGCAAAAAATGTGAAATGAAACGAAAGACGTTTTTCGTATAAGCATAACAGTTAAATATCAAAAACTACCTTGTTGATTTTACAATCAATTAATTACATTAAAAGGGATAAAAATAAATAACAGTTATAAATTTTATACAAGATGAGACGTGATTGCAAAAATGACTGGGCTCTCAAAACTAATATCTGGTTCAGAGAGAGAAGTGAAACATGAAAAACTTATTCTTTAAACGCTCTCTATCATAAAATGTTCTTCACGAAATGAGTAAAATTTGATGATAGATGCGTTACATCAAACTTTCAGATATCTTTTTTACTGCTTAAATTACGATCCAGAATTTTCGTATTTGGCAAAAGCAACAACGTATAAATGCTTGGATATTATAATTCAAGTATAAGGATGGGTTGCTTTTATCATAAGAATGAATACGTTTTATCTGTCGAGCATTGCGAACCTAATTTAATTTTTTCTTTTCATGAGAAATGCAATTATTAACCTTACGGTTTTTCCCTATCTATATACCTATTGTTCAGTCCAGCAGGTTGGGATAATCATAAAAAGATTAATATCCTAGGTGAAAATTTAACAAAAATCAATGCGCAGCATCCTTTTTCTACAGTTATTCCAAGACCAGTACCACGTAAAGCAATTCACAGAGAACCAGAAATAATGACGATTGATGAACAGGTATGTCATAATACTTGTCATATACTTTGCAAAATCATGCCATAATACTTGTTGCATATATCATATGTTGAATATATGTCCAAAAGTTGTACAAAAAAGATTTACTTTAGGAGTTTTTAATGGATGAAGGGAGATCTTAGTAAATTTGAAAACTACAGTGAAATCATACTACTTTCAATACTAGGCATTTTTCGACATAATATTCCTGAACCAAATGAGAGATTCAGAAGACCTCCAACTTTGAGATTAATAAAGCTGGCTTTCATAAAGATCAATCATATACCGAACAAACTGATACACTAATGATCAGGGTTGTCTAATCAGTCGGACGGAACTCATCACAATACATCAACTTTCCTGATCATGAGGAAGCATTCGACAGAGCTAATAGATAAACTTTGTGGAACATTGTTAGATACTATTGTGTATCTGGAAAGATTGTCACAACTATATGGAACTCTTACAAAGGACTCAGCTACATGGTCGTACCTGAAGGGCAGTTAACAACTCCATTCCAAGCGATAATCTATCTCAGATGCGATTACCTAGTTCCACCTTTTCTCTTCTAGATAGTGACTGAGTTATGAAGATAGTATTAGCAGTAATAAAGAAGACCAGGCATCTAAAATACGATTCAGGAAATGTAAATTAGTGACATAAAAAAATTGAGGAACTCAAAGGCTTATAATTTGGGGAACATAAAGAATGGATGCACCTACGACTTTGTTTTGACGGACCAATTTACTGCATGTATGTGTTGTCGGGAATCAGTGAAGAGATTTACTCAGGACCCGAAAATCTTAATGAATTCAAACGCATATCATTTCTGGCATTCAACCTGTATAATACTACTACACATAATATTAATTGGAGATTTAACTAGACAGATTCAAAAATTACTTAGGACTGAATCCCAGTATACATGAGCAGAATGAGTATTCAGCATTTTAAATAAGTTTGCTCAGTAAAAGCTAATGATTGATATAAATGATTTATCTAAATATTACTTTCAAATATATCTAATTTTGGATTCACATTAGAATCTTCATTTAAATTAAGTCATCATGACTAAAGAAATCACCACTTTTTATGGGAAGCCTAATAGTATCGTTTATGTTTGGTGGTAGTCTTGTTACAACTGAAGTATACCACTTAATTAGTCTATAGGGAAAAGTTGCAACACAGAAGAATTATTAGTGATTTTGTGTCCACTACATTGGATAGCCTAATCGACCGGAGTGTCCAACACAAATAAGGTAAAATCTTTAAAATATATAAGAAAACCTTTTTAAATATTGGAATAGCTACAGTGAATAAATGATGAAGTTACTATGTTCACGACAATAAAATGGGAAAAGATTCTTCAGAAAAGATTTCCTGACTTCTGAATTATTTTCCTAAAAAGCTATTTGTTTCTAATTTGCGAATCATCATTAGTATGCACCCAATACCAATCCGTAAGCGAAAGCATTTTCCCATTACACTGATTTCAACAATCTATGCAACCAAATAATAAACCAGGTTAGACCAGTCCTTAACTAGGACAAAACATATGTACAGTGTTTTTTGGTTCATAATGGTTCTTCAGATAATATCAGTTCATACTGAAAACTACCCTCACCATAAGTAGTTCACTGAAACACAAAGAATATATATTTACAATTTTACAAACATTGGTATATTCCTACAACTTTATATATAACAAGTCTCAAGGAATATTGTTTTTCACCTAATACAACAAAAACCTGTAGCTATGTAATATACAAAACCAAGATTTGAGTATAGTATACCTATACTAATCTGTGAAAATCTTAATCCTTAAATAAATAGAAACAAACACATGATTACAACTTCACCTCAACTATAAGTGTGTTAAATTGAAAAAAATTTGTGTGAAAATTTCTATTACTATTTAATTATTTTATCAAAAATATAAAACTTTTTTTTGTTAATTTTTAACATAATTATTGTGAATTAAGGCTACATCGAGGCAATACGAACAGTATGCACATACGCCAATTAGAGACTGACCAGTTTCAGTCCTAAACATCAATGGAAAGATTCAAACAAGTAATACTAAGTTAATTCAATTATTTAGACTTATTATTTACCATTCTTGTAATAAACAATAATTATATTCATTTAGTATTGTTTGTTTGAATCTTCCCATCGATTTGTTAGGACTACAACTGGTCAGTCTCTAGTTGGCATATATGCATACTGTGCGTATTGCCTCGATATAGCCTTATTTCACAAGCATTATAAGCAAAGATGGATAGTGGCTGGCAGTGGAATCCAGGACGCACATTTCGTCCTATTTGGGACTCGTCAGCTGGATGTACCTGCATCTCACAGTTGATGTTCACTCTGGGACTTGAACACAGTACCTTTCGCTTCAAGCGCCATTGCGTTATCCACTCAGCTACTGAGTCATGATAGCCACTTGCTTGTGCAATGGGGTGAAGTTTAAATTAACTTAGTATTGTTTGTTTGAATCTTTTTAGTATTGTGTATTTATGTGCATAAATTAAATCACTGACTTACTACAGTATTATACGATTTATTTTGCAATTAACTTATCTTGAGATGGTAGAGAAGATTTGTAGCTCAGGTGGATGATTTGTTCAGTGGCAATACTATTAAAAAAACTAGTGAAAAATTGAAGCAATTGGACATTTTCAAGAAGCAAGAAACTCGAAAAGATTTTTTTCTATTTTCACTTAATCAGTAGTGCATAATCCAATGTTTTTTTAAACAGTATGTACAAAAGAAAGCTTTCAGCAACAATAGGTACACAATATTGTCTGATATTAACATCAAACTAGTTGGATGAGAAATAATCATCCTCATTCTCTAATTTATACAATTTACAATTCTCAAATCATAAATTTTGAGTATGAAGCTGATTGCTAGTAATTTATGTGAAGCTTTCCAATGTGTGACGTAAAATAACATACATTGTAACTTATCCCATAACTAATTTTCTGTAATGGAATAAAACTAGATATATCCGCCATTCAACATTTCCAATAAATTATCATGGATGCTTATTAGTCAATGAATAAATGTTTTTAAAAAATGTTCCAAGTCTTTTTAAACACGAAAGATACTTTAATGGGATTTTATTACATTTTATTGATTATTGCAGGCTTTTCTCCTTCGACTTTCAACAATAAAAGAAAACGAGAACATAGATCCTAACACGCTAAAGGAATTCTTAGGCTCTGGGGGATTACATTCAAATTCAAAACAGCCTGCAAATAGTTTTAAAATTGGATCAGGTGCTAAAACAATGGATGATAACAATCGTTTACCGGTCAGTCCAACCCCTATATTTCGTGCAAAAGTAGGTTGTTTAATAATGAAGTGATAGATACATGAACAGTATGGTGTTACATAAATGCAATTTGATTACCGGTTATTTGGTTCAGTAGAGTGTGTAGAGCTACAGAAATCTGATTACGTATTTCAATGAATTATGAATATTATCTAACAAATAATACCAAGTAAAATACGTGTTTCTTTTCAAAATACTGTAAGGTAGTAATCTCTGTAGCGATAGTATTACAAACACACATATTTCTTTACTGACTTTATGTATTATCAGAAGGGGTTTTGTGGATATTAAAGTAATTTCAATAGCTGAGATCATGAATCAATTGAAGCTAGACCACCATGGAAGACCTGGAAGCACTGGACAACCAACACGTTCTATTGTGGGACTCCTCAGCAGTGTGCATCCACGATCCCGCCTCGCGAAATTCGAAACCAGGACCTATCAGTCTTGGGCGCGAGCGCTTAACCACTAGACCACTGAGTCGGTATACAACGGTGTTAATGTCTAACTTCAGCCGACTTTATGTAGACTTTTAGACTCCTGGCACTGCAAATTTAGAAATGTGAACAAATCAAAAGGTGAAGATATGATTGAAAAATTACTGCAAGTTCCTGAAATTATCTGGAGAAAATGCTAAAATCAAAAACAATCCATGGATTCGGTCAAGCATATTAGGGAAGAAACTGAATACGTAAGGTTATGAAGTGTGTTGATCGATCAAACCTATTAAGGACAATTCTCGACTGTTGTGAGATTTTAGAACAATGGTTTTTGATGTATCTTAACGAAAAGAATTTAGAATAAAATACACACAGCTATTTACAAATAGTTTATATTGACTTTAAGATGAATGTATACTGATTATCTATCATCTCATCCTTTTTCACTATTTTATGAACAGATTTCTCCCGTAGGTCCAATAAATAATTTAACTAGTACTCCTTCCATACAAGGTACTTCAGATGGTGTATTAGCTGATTTCTTTTCAAATCTGCTTAAGAAGCGACCGGTTGTAAATAACACTACTGGAGAAACGTCTACTGAGCCTCAGCTTCAACGTACATCACAATCATCAGGTAAGCTGATATAACAATGAATTTAGTCTATACAACTAACAATGTTGTCCAGATATATTAAACTATTATATTGCTTTTGTAAAGGCTATTACATGATTTCTGGCATTGAGAAAAACTGGTCATCAGATTAATGCTTTATTAAAAATTATGCAATAAATGAACTACTGAATGCAAAATGATTCTCATTTACGAATTTAAGTTGCTATACATCAAATTAAAGAACGCTTGGGTATTGACGTACAAATATACGTTTGCACACAAATTCATATTTTAATTCGAATATGGTGGTTGCTTGGATCTTCCCACTGGTATTTTGGACTGCAAATGGTCAGTCTCTGCACAAGCCAGTGGCTATCTAGACTCAGTAGCTAAGTGAATAACGCGATGGAGTTTGCATCAAACGTTACTGGATTCAAGTCCAGGAGTGAACATCAAATGTGGGATCCAGATACATCCAGCTGACGCATCCAAAATATGATGAAAAGTGTGTCTTGGATAATACTGCTAGCCATCATCCATCTCTGCTTAAAAAAGCCTTATAGTTTGTTTGTTGATGTAAAACGATGGCTATGGAAATTGGATATTCTGATATATATCTACACAGTGTAAAAAATTTTCTATTTGCTGATATACAAGTTTTATGAAATTGATAGAAACATTAAAAAATAACCAAAAATGGGGGATAGGTCCTAAGCACCTATTGGATTGCATACAACCTTGGTTAACATTCATGCATAAAATTCTCAACAAACTGAATATTACAGGTACTGTAGTTCTACCACTGGTGATTTGAACTGGATTTTAAAAAAAATCGATTACCAGATATTGCCATCTCAGTAGTATGTTTTAACTGTATGTTCACACCATTGATAGCTTGATGCAACAAAATAGAATTACATCGAACATATTTAATTATAAGTGATGGAGGTTCTTAATGAATTGACATAGGTTATGAATGACCTTTATTTCCCTTCACAGATTTTCCAAGGACAAAACCGTCTTAAGAAATACTCCAAAGTTTGAATTTAGAAAAACCTTATTCTTCGGGTAAATGTTTATTGGGAACATATATTTATTATGAAATCTTGAGAAAACAAAAAACACCGCTTTATTTCAGGATAAAAATCACCTTATAAATAATACAAAATCATATAATCAACTCAGTAAATTATGGCAAATGGTTGAAGATTTTAAAACGTAATTTAAAATATGTATTCGAAAAACGGAAAAAAAATCCTAGAATCAACCGTTTCACACAGAATACACACAAAATGCTCTAAATAGACAACATATTCAGAAGGGGATTTGTGGAGATTTCAGTATATTTCAAAGTTGAAATCATGAGTCAATTGAAGCTAGACCACCATCAAAAACCCGGAAGCACTGGACGGCCGTTTCGTCCTATTATGGGACTCCTCAGCAGTGCGCATCCACGATCCCGCACTTGCGAGATTCGAACCCAGGACCTACCAGTTACGAGCCAGAGCCCTTAACCGATAGACCACTGAGCCGGCATCCAACGATGTTAATGTCTAACTTCAACTGATCCACGAATTATGAGCGACACTTCACCAATTGCCTTCAGTGAGCGGTCTATCGATTAAGGGCTCTGGCTCGTAACTGGTAGGTCCTGGGTTCGAATCTCGCAAGTGCGGGATCGTGGATGCGCACTGTTGAAGAGTCCCATAATAGGACGAAATGGCCGTCCAGTGCTTCCAGGTTTTCGATGGTGGTCAAGCTTCAATTGACTCATGATTTCAATTTTGAAAGATAACATATTTATTATATGCAGTCATATGGTTAATCAGTATAGGTTTCCAATATAGAATATCATTTACAATACAAAATTTTTTTTAATTTGTAGACCCAAAAGACAAACAGCAAGATAACATGGATGAAAGTGCGAAATTTCCAAAGAAAAGTATAAATAAAGATGAGGAAATAAGTTTCACTATCGAGATTACAGAACAAGTTACAAAGAGCGCGCAAGAGAAAACAGATTCTAAAGACATGAATGAACAAAACTATGACCCCAGGGTTGATCATGAAAAAGTGGAAAACGAGAGTGAAAAAGAAACAAATGTAACGAGAAATATAAAAGAAGACGAGGCTAAAAAGCAGGAACAATATAAGAAAATAGAAAGGAAACCAACAAAAGAAGTGCAAGAAAATCATCAAAGCATAGAGTCGGAAAAACTAGTAGCACAAAAAGGACATACACCGTCACAAAATGAACAAAAAGAGAGCGAGACACATAAAAATAGCAGCAGGAACTACGAAAATCGAAGCGAAATCCCCACTGAACTCGTAGAAGAAATTCATGAAGTGGAGAGTGAACAAATATTCGACGCTCCTTTGGCCGCTTGCATGAGTACGTCGAAGGCACACTTAGATCGAGTGATTGATCAACCACCTGTTGTCGAGTTGTCCCAAATATCAGATAATATGACTGACCACATCGACACAGCGCATCTAAACAATCAACTTCACACCTCTCCCGACAACACAAATCCCACTGATCTCAACGACAAAATCAATGAAGTGGACAGCACAATGAACTCCGAGTTGACAATAGTTCCCAGTCACATATCTCCACTGTTGGGACCCACCTCGGAAATCAGTATCACCACAATACACAGTGACATGATGACTGAAAGTCGTCTTGACCAGAATCACGAACTGCCTGAGACTAGTCATCAGGACTTGCAAAATCAAAGCAAAACTCCCACTGAACTCGTAGAAGAAATTCATGAAGTGGAGAGTGAACAAATATTCGACGCTCCTTTGGCCGCTTGCATGAGTACGTCGAAGGCACACTTAGATCGAGTGATTGATCAACCACCTGTTGTCGAGTTGTCCCAAATATCAGATAATATGACTGACCACATCGACACAGCGCATCTAAACAATCAACTCCACACCTCTCCCGACAACACAAATCCCACTGATCTCAACGACAAAATCAATGAAGTGGACAGCACAATGAACTCCGAGTTGACAATAGTTCCCAGTCACATATCTCCACTGTTGGGACCCACCTCGGAAATCAGTATCACCACAATACACAGTGACATGATGACTGAAAGTCGTCTTGACCAGAATCACGAACTGCCTGAGACTAGTCATCAGGACTTGCAAAATCAAAGCAAAACTCCCACTGAACTCGTAGAAGAAATTCATGAAGTGGAGAGTGAACAAATATTCGACGCTCCTTTGGCCGCTTGCATGAGTACGTCGAAGGCACACTTAGATCGAGTGATTGATCAACCACCTGTTGTCGAGTTGTCCCAAATATCAGATAATATGACTGACCACATCGACACAGCGCATCTAAACAATCAACTCCACACCTCTCCCGACAACACAAATCCCACTGATCTCAACGACAAAATCAATGAAGTGGACAGCACAATGAACTCCGAGTTGACAATAGTTCCCAGTCACATATCTCCACTGTTGGGACCCACCTCGGAAATCAGTATCACCACAATACGCAGTGACATGATGACTGAAAGTCGTCTTGACCAGAATCACGAACTGCCTGAGACTAGTCATCAGGACTTGCAAAATCAAAGCAAAACTCCCACTGAACTCGTAGAAGAAATTCATGAAGTGGAGAGTGAACAAATATTCGACGCTCCTTTGGCCGCTTGCATGAGTACGTCGAAGGCACACTTAGATCGAGTGATTGATCAACCACCTGTTGTCGAGTTGTCCCAAATATCAGATAATATGACTGACCACATCGACACAGCGCATCTAAACAATCAACTCCACACCTCTCCCGACAACACAAATCCCACTGATCTCAACGACAAAATCAATGAAGTGGACAGCACAATGAACTCCGAGTTGACAATAGTTCCCAGTCACATATCTCCACTGTTGGGACCCACCTCGGAAATCAGTATCACCACAATACGCAGTGACATGATGACTGAAAGTCGTCTTGACCAGAATCACGAACTGCCTGAGACTAGTCATCAGGACTTGCAAAATCAAAGCAAAACTCCCACTGAACTCGTAGAAGAAATTCATGAAGTGGAGAGTGAACAAATATTCGACGCTCCTTTGGCCGCTTGCATGAGTACGTCGAAGGCACACTTAGATCGAGTGATTGATCAACCACCTGTTGTCGAGTTGTCCCAAATATCAGATAATATGACTGACCACATCGACACAGCGCATCTAAACAATCAACTCCACACCTCTCCCGACAACACAAATCCCACTGATCTCAACGACAAAATCAATGAAGTGGACAGCACAATGAACTCCGAGTTGACAATAGTTCCCAGTCACATATCTCCACTGTTGGGACCCACCTCGGAAATCAGTATCACCACAATACACAGTGACATGATGACTGAAAGTCGTCTTGACCAGAATCACGAACTGCCTGAGACTAGTCATCAGGACTTGCAAAATCAAAGCAAAACTCCCACTGAACTCGTAGAAGAAATTCATGAAGTGGAGAGTGAACAAATATTCGACGCTCCTTTGGCCGCTTGCATGAGTACGTCGAAGGCACACTTAGATCGAGTGATTGATCAACCACCTGTTGTCGAGTTGTCCCAAATATCAGATAATATGACTGACCACATCGACACAGCGCATCTAAACAATCAACTCCACACCTCTCCCGACAACACAAATCCCACTGATCTCAACGACAAAATCAATGAAGTGGACAGCACAATGAACTCCGAGTTGACAATAGTTCCCAGTCACATATCTCCACTGTTGGGACCCACCTCGGAAATCAGTATCACCACAATACGCAGTGACATGATGACTGAAAGTCGTCTTGACCAGAATCACGAACTGCCTGAGACTAGTCATCAGGACTTGCAAAATCAAAGCAAAACTCCCACTGAACTCGTAGAAGAAATTCATGAAGTGGAGAGTGAACAAATATTCGACGCTCCTTTGGCCGCTTGCATGAGTACGTCGAAGGCACACTTAGATCGAGTGATTGATCAACCACCTGTTGTCGAGTTGTCCCAAATATCAGATAATATGACTGACCACATCGACACAGCGCATCTAAACAATCAACTTCACACCTCTCCCGACAACACAAATCCCACTGATCTCAACGACAAAATCAATGAAGTGGACAGCACAATGAACTCCGAGTTGACAATAGTTCCCAGTCACATATCTCCACTGTTGGGACCCACCTCGAACATGTTAGTCACCTCACAACCTGGTACTAATAGTTCATGCACTGGTCCTTCTGACAGTCTAGGTAACGAAAGTAATTCCGCTGTTTCACCTGATATTGTTTTATTGGGATCGGATTTTACATCTACAGTTGTTCCAGATTTAACATGTTCCGAAAATACATCATCAAATGGTAATTCGATTTTTACTGAGAATTTTCTCGAAACTGTTATTTCACCGATGAAACAAGAAACATTCGGTGCTTCTTCAGATATCAATTCACCACTCTCTATTCAAAAGTCCCTAGAAAATATAAAAGTTCAATCACATTTGAAACCGTCGTCTTATATGAACACCACTATTCAGAAAAGCAATTCCTTACCACCAAGCCCTAAATTATTACAAAAACCAACAGTTAAACAAAGCGCAAATAGTTCACCAAGGTCACCTACAATGACTGGGCCGAATTTCAGACAGACAAGTAACTTAACGAATACAAAAACAAAGTATGCAAGTTCAAACAGTGCGAATGCATCACCCAATCTTGTCAGAAAACCATTATCTTATTTGTCAAAGAACAGTGATAGTAAAAAGTAGAACATAATTTTCCTTTATTTTTAGCATGTCACAAAAAGGAACAATGTGAGGATTATTTTTATTTTCATTACGATCATTATTTTACTTAAAATATTTACTTTTAATTTTAATATATAACATGGAGTGATAGTTCTTAACCGCTTTATGATAGGATATTATGGGGTTTAATTAGGGTTATATATAATGTGCCTTCTCTTATAACATAACATTGATATACAAATTCTAATGTATGTTTTTAGTATTTCCTTCATTTATTAATGACAACAATAATAATCATAAAAAGAAAGTTAAGACATTGAAACGAAATTAATGCATGATGTTAAAACAACTATATTACCATCACTTCAGCATAAATAAACAAACCACACTCTATATGTGGGGGCTAATGATACTACCCGGTTGTCGAAGCTGAAGTAGGCGCAGCGAGGTTCCAACCTAGAACTTGAAAGTCGAACAGCTCAACTTTTCTTGATAGGGCGAGGTGCATACAAATAGCATACAACTCTATTTGAAAACAGCACATCAAAACCACGTGATGCAATGTCCCATTACACTTACCAGAACAAGCAACCTGAAAATTAGGAGAACACCGTCAGAACATTCAACACGTTAGGTCACCATCACTTAAAAAAACATAAACTATCAGCTAGACAGAGTGAATGAAAGTGGTAACATAGTCGCTTGTTTTAACGAATTCGATTATTTAACCACATAAGAGCTTTCGGACATGGGAAATTAGTGTCATACACTAAGTAGTTCTAACTGAAAGATTAAACTAATCGATAAAGGAAAATGAGCAAATAATAGTTTAAATTAAAAACGACTTTCAATTGAATCTTTTAAATAAAGATATAGAACAAAATCTTAAGCAACTGGACATTAAAAATCAAGACCCCCAGGGTGATACAAGATTCAAAGTATTCCTTTTAATGCATGTTTATATCTTGTGATAGAGATACCTTTAACAAAGCTGAGTTTGGACTCACTTGACTACTGATTAGTTTGAATGATGTTTGGACGTCAGGTAAATGACCACTGAATACACAAGAATCATTTAGTTTGAATTTTTAAAGAATAGGTTTTAGAATGAGGATAATAAGCCTTGTTCTTGTTTTTCCATGTACATGCTTTGAGACCTTTATATTAACTGGTATAAAACAACTTGTTGCCACATGATGTTACCTATGATTGTGACAGTAAAGAGTATATACACACTTAGGTTTAAATTCTGAATATTTTATTACATTCCTGTGTTCAATCATGTATAGCTTAAACGAATAATTTATTTTTCAGCTTACTTGTTGTTCAATTTCGTATTGTAATATTATTGATTAGTGTATTATACATTTGCTTTTAAATAAGTTTGACTGAAATTTTATTCCATTAGTTAGTTCTCAAAACTCTTGTACATAAATTCCTTTTAAACACATTTGACCATTAGAAACTAGAATATCCAGAACCACATTTACTTCTGAACAGCAACATTCAGATGAATAAGGTTAATATTAACAAAGGATGAAATGACCAAATTTTTAATTTATGAAATATAGATACGTTTTCCTGGGAGAAACAACGCCAGAATCAAGTGAAAAGTGGATCATTAACTTTAAAAAATACGCGAGAAAATACACTTGGGCTCCTAAATACCACAATCTTAATGGCTGATTTTCGAGGAGGCACATAACTACCGCTACATTTTCCACTCAACGAAAGCAATAAAAAAAATTATTTTTCAGTGTTTCTTTTCTTAATTGTAGGAGAATTGAAGTAAAAAAAAAGTACAGAATTGTACGACTACCGTAGTTATTGAATCATTCATTTGAATAGTGCAGTGTAGCCGCCTATTACGCAACACATTTGTTCCATGTGTTACGTCATAATTCTACCATAATCCAATACATTTCACCTCGTTTTCAAATATGAATAGTTTCACTGGCGGGACCTCAGATGATTTTAACGGTACAAATTATACAGCATTAAGGTAAGAATATACCCTAAGTGTATACAGTCATTTGATGACAAAACGCTAGAGAAGATAACTACACAGTTACCATGATGCACGGTGTAACTCAATGTGGTTTGTTTAGAAATTCATTAAGCAGACAGACAGTTATACTACCTTATAAAAATACATCATATTTGTAATAGATTCTCACCTATAACTGTGCTCCTATATAATGACTATGTTTAAAGGTAAACAGTAGAGGACCTATGTCCTCACTGAGAATCAGAAGTAGTCTGCGGTACTCGATTGGATCAAACCATAAGAATTAAGAAGGACCGAGGCGAGTTAATACATACTCGCACCGTATAACTAGACACCTAATAACTGAAGTTTAGATTGCATAGATGAGTCTCACTGAGAACCATCAATAGTGATTCGTAAAACTTCTATTTAGAATATACGACTTCCATCTTCAGTATGCTAAACTAGATTATTCTACATTTATTGAATAACTTTTTGCACACTTTCTGTGCTGCTTGCAATTATAGAAATTTGAGTCTGTGAACTAATATCACAAGTATTACCCTTCTTTATCTGTTCATTGTCTTTAAATAAAAACGATAGCACAACTAACTGTTCGGTCAAACGTTGGAGAGTTTCGGGATTAAGCCTTCTTGTTTCAGATTCAGCGTGACTGAGTGACTATGAATTCTGACCGTATCTATTCACACGCTTCATGAGCAGATTACAACTTATTGTGATAGTAAACATTAGAAAATTCAAACGGAGACACTAAAGTTCATGAAATGTTTCCCTTTTAGTCTATTTTCTGAAGAAACAATAGGGGGTTATACTAGGATTCATGCATTAAATATATAATGAATGAGGAAAATAGATGTAGTTGAAACTGGGCTTGTATTAAGTCGCTTTAATCTAAGTGTAAAGTGTAAACAACTATATGGCTTTAGTACATATGTCGTTTATCGACTTAATGTAAGCATCTATGATAACCACTAACAACTTACAATTTCAGTATTAATCATAAGAAATATAGTACATTTGAGTAGAAATCACTAAAAGATAAGAGCGTTTTATTTGATATTTTTGTATGGTGGACGCCAGTGGGATCCAAGACACATGATTAATTCTATCTGGAACTCAAACCCAGAACAAATGAAAAAGATATGTAATAAACTTGTAACTACAGACATTCGCTCAAAGAATTCACCTCCCAATAGACATTGAATAAACTAAGTCTTGAATATCAAACGACAGAAAAACACAAATTCTCACTAGCTGTAATAAATGTGTGTTTTTATTCAACTGTTTTAAGGTTATATTAAAGCGAACTAAAATGTTTATGTTACAATTATTTCTTGGTGGACAAAAGGAATAGGTAGATTTGGTTTTGTATTAAAGGACATTGAAAAGCTTGTCAACCATTTTAGTAAAGTTGAATCAAACAGAAAACTAAAAGAAAGAATAAAAGTGAAAGAAGGCAAGAAAATATACAATACGTATTGAGTATACGATCTATCGATAATAAGGCGGTTTGGCAACATGAATACCCCTATCATTCAATGAAGCAATTAAATCTTCCAGTGTAAGAGTGGCGCGACGATCTGTGGGAAATTTATTTGTTCCAGGCTTTCCACCTAGAAAACAACATATTATAGACATCATAAGGATTGATACAAGGTGTAACATAATGATTTTAACATTAATAACGAAATTTGATACAGTTGATTAAAATAACCGGTCGAAAATTGTTTTCATTTTTGGGATTAAATCAGTGAGACCAAAATTACTATTAGTTAAATTGATATGAATTAGAAATTACAAACGAGATAAAGAACTATAACATTATTATCGCTTAGCTCGCAGCATTATACTGTGGAGATCTAAGTTACTGCTTTCTAAACAACCAGAATTGAAAGATTCTAGATTCCAAGGGACAAAAAGTTTGCCTTATCTAACTATAAAAAAACTACTGAGCAATTTAATCGAAATAATGACACGACTTAGTAATGAAGTGTAGACTATAATGCAATGGTCTTTGAATTATATTGATCATATAAGGATGGGAAGGTAATGATTTGTCCAAACTGAAATGACTTATGAATTGTCGAATAATGTATGTATTGTTTAAAAAACTGACAATCTTTAATATACACAAACATATGAAGTCTAACTACAGTATGCCTTACATAACACTCTCATCCAAGGAGAGAAGTATAATGAAAACAGTTTTGATAACAAAGTCACTTAACAGTATCCGTAAAAACATAACTGAGATTCGTAAGTGAGTTGCACGAATGTAAATGCATGGAAAGTGAGACACAAATTCGAAGGCGATTTAGATTGATATGCACCGCTTTGAGATAGGCAACACGAATCCAGAATTTGTCAGTTGCACATTATTTAACACTTGCGATAAATTACATATAAACAAGAAATCCACAACTGTTTTTTAGTGACTTACTATAAGATTAAGAGCAGGATATATCTAACTGATGTTTAAATGAACAGTTAATTATTGCACTCTTCATTTAAAATGATATCGCAGTTAGACGAGTTGAAAGCTATTCCATGATTTCGATCTAATCTGCTGGGTACGATCATTTAATGCTTACATAATAGATTGTCCTCGTCGAGTTAGCTTTCTACATAAATTTATATTAAATTGTTGAGATGAATTTTCATGTAAATTCCAGTCCATATATAAAACTCAATATCTTGTCAGCGACTTCATGGATTTGTGCCACGTTTTGGTCCGGCCGCCCCTAGCTTTCTTCCAACCTACTCCTGCACCATAGAACATTGCACGTCGGGGCAGTCGGTGGTTGGGCATACGTAACACGTGTCCCAGCCATCTCAACTGATGAAGTATCACTACTTCATCAATCGATTTGCCATCATTACCAAGTACCCGTTTCCTAACAAATGCATTACTTACCCGGCGGTCCCAGGATATACGAGCAATGCGTCGAAGACACTTATGATCGAACACTAGTAGCCTACGAATATCCTCTACTCTTATCGGCCATGTTTCACTGCCGTAAAGAAGGACGGAACGGACTGCTGCACAGTAAACCCGTCCTTTTGTTGCTAGACGGATATCTCGCCTACGCCATAAATGACGCAAGTTGGCAAAAGCTAGACGAGCCTTCTGTATCCGTGCTGAGATTTCGTCACATACCAGACCACAAGGGCTGATGAGACTCCCAAGATAAGTGAAGTGGTCTACACGCTCAACTACTCCACTCCCTATCATTAGTTCAGGTGTCGATGCAACCCAATCCTGAAGTAACATTTCGCACTTCGAGGGAGAGAATCGCATTCCGAACATGCCTGCATAGTTGCTTCTAGTGGTCAGAAGACTCTGCATTTTGTCAGCGTCTCCACCAAATAGAACTATTTCATCGACATATTCCAATGCAACGAGTGAGCCTCCCGGTAAAAGTTCAACTCCTTGAGATTTAGATGATGAAAGTGTTAGCTCTAAAAGCATGCCGATGACGAAGTTAAACAAGAATGGTGAGAGTGGACAGTCCTGACGAACACCACTTGAGGTAACCAATCATGATGACAGTTCGCCATAAGCTCTAACACGATCAGATGTGTTCGAGTAGAGAGTCTTTATGAGGTTAATGTACTTCTTTGGTACTCCATTCAGTGACAAACACTGCCATAGAACTTCACGATCAACTGAGTCAAATGCCGCCTTAAGATCGAGAAATACTACTTTTGTGGGACGTCTGAATGTGTGTCTATGTTCTAGGACCTGACGTAGAATGAATATCTGGTCTACACAACCACGTCCAGGTAGAAAACCAGCCCGGTTTTCTCTGGGCTGCTCTTTACGAGCTTTGGTTAGGCGTCCCAGTATTATTGAAGCTAATATTTTAGTCATTATATTAGTCAAACTGATTCCTCTGTGAATGTCACAGGAGGACTTTTTTCCTTTCTTATAGACTGGCACAATCAGTGATTGGGATCAGTCAGATGAAATTACGTCTAGTTCCCAGATCCTACTTAAGACCTCAGTCAATTCCGCTGCTAGTACTGGACCACCATCCTTAAAAATCTCAGGAGTAAACCTGTCAGGGCCTGCTGCTCTTTCACGCTTCAGATTTCCTATAGCTTTTTCAACCTCGTGAAGAGTTGGAGGATTTACATTAACTTGCCATTCAGGTTGACTGGAGATCGTGGGAAACCAAAGTGTGACTGAAGGTCAGTTGAACTGATCCCTAAAGTGTTCTGCCCATCGATCCAATCTCCTGGATTGAGAATGAATGATATGCCCATCTTTATCTGAGATAGTTTCACTGATACTTGGGTTCCTAATACCGGTTTCTTTAACAAGTCTGAATAGCTGCCTGCTGTTTCCTATTGTTGCTGCCTTTTCCATCTCTCTTACTTCCGCTACCCACCACTGTTCACGGTCATTGCGTAGGCTTTTTATTAGCCTACGCTTAAGCTGACTCCGCTCTTCGTTATGTTCAGAGCCAGATGGGATGAGTTTTCGAGCATCTATCAGTGCTGTAGATGCTGCTGAAATCCATTATTTCTCCTCAACCTTATGGTTTGCCTTACTAGCGGATATCACTGCTGTTTCCACAGCTTTTCGGATGTCATTCCACGCTACCTTTGGGTGGGCACAACTTACATGGCTGCTCAACTGTTTTTCTAGGTGTTCCTGAAATATATATTCCTAGCTTGCCAATCATTAAGCAGAACCCTTAGAGGCTCCCCTGCAGTGTCTTTCCTACGTCCAGTAAGACGAGGACAGATACGTGCTCGTACTAGAGCATGATCTGAATCTAAACATGTGCTCCAGAATGAGCGACAGTCTTCTATCGAGCCCCCCCATCGGTGGCTGATAGCGATGTGATCTAATTGGGTCCAACGTTGGGACGAATTCGGGGGTCGCCATGTCAAAAGATGTTTTTCTTTATGCTTAAAGTTAGTATTTGCAAGAAATAGGCGGTTATTTGGGCATAGCTGCAACAGACGGTCTCCATTATCTGTTCTTTTAGCCATGACACCATAAGATCCACCCAGGTGTCTTTCCCTTTCACTTAGTTTACCTACTTGAGCATTAAAGTCACCAGCCACTAATACTACATCAGAACGCCTAGCTTTTCGGAGAAGGTCAGACAGTTTCCTGTAGAACTTATCTTTTATATCGTCTGAGATGCAGTCAGTGGAAGGGTAGGCAGAGACGACGAAGAGGCAACGACGAGTTTCCCTATATTTCCGAGTCCTTACTGATCCGTTTTGTCGGACAGCGCATAGACGACTGTCTACTGGGATCCAGTCTAAGAGAGCTAGTTCTGCCCTAGGACTTAATGCTATACCTACGCCAGCGAGGTCACGAGAAACAGCATCAGGGCTTCCAGATACACGAAATGTGAATCGAGTTGGTTCTTTATCGTGACATGGTGAGGTTAAATGAATGACGTGCGTTTCGGAGACGCAGCATACATCGATGGTGTAAGATTCTGAAGTCCTATATAAGAGAGCCTGTTGTCCTATTTGGCACAACGTTTGGACGTTAAAAGTCCCCACATGTAGCTTCAGGAGACCAGGAATAACGTTCCGTGTACTTGAATCGTTGGCCCTAGCGGTGAGAGGTGATAAAAGAACGTGAGAAGGGTTAGTCGTGGAGATAAGAGAGTTATTAGGAGTTGTAGGAAGAATTTGAATGTGACCAACTTGATCTCGTGTGCTGTTACGGGTATAAGGGCTAATATCACTTTCCGGCTGCCCACACCGTGGAAGGGTATTTTCTTGAGGGACCTGAAAAGGAAGTTGGATTAAAGTTGGTCATAACGACCTGAGAGTGTGACCGCGGAGTCCAAGGGACAGCTGCTTGAGACTGGTCATTCATGGCCTGTTTGTCGTATGTTTATGACGTGTTAGCTCTGTCCTTCGAAGGGCCTTACCTCCAGAAACGGAAATCCATGAGGTAAGGTGAGGCGTGACATTTCTAGGGTCGACATTTTTTAACCCCTTCCTTCCTTGTAAGATGGCAGTATCACTGCAGATGTTTATTGTCCGAGGGAAACACGGTACCGCTGTCGAACTTCTCTACAGTCAGAAGTAGGACGTCGTACTCAGACCTTACATAGCTGCTTTTAGTCTTACCGTTCTCAACCCGACTTGCCTGGTATGGTAGGACCTAAAGGTACATGTGTTTCAGCCAATATAGCTGAGTTGAGTCGTCACGATAAGCAAGTTCGATCATCATATCAAGGTAGCAGCTAAGGTTGTGAAGGATCAATAGCAGCTAGTCCAGTACATCTTTCTTACATACTACGACACCATATCATAAACTGATTACCTTTCCGCTTTTTCCAACCAATCCCAGTGTCTGCAAACAATGCATAACGTGAAATACTCTGAGACGACATTTGTAAGACACATTCAAGCCACCGAAATCGATGTTTCAATATGGTAACACCAAACGGATCATTATCATTGTGCCGGAACACAGGATGTTGAACCTCTGCATTACCAACATTATGTTGCCTCTGCATGTCAGCAATCCTTCAGAGACAGCGATGATCAAACACAGAGTCGTCTAACATCCTCAACTCTGAGAGTCCAGGTCTCACAAGCCAAACTGCTCTCACCGATGCGTTGTAGATCCGGCTCTCATAGAGACCGGCATCACGAAGGCTCCAAGGATGGCCCGAATTGGCATAAGCCGCTCTGGCTTTCACCATACGTGGATTGATCTCATCACTCACAAAATTATCAGCACTTACACAGCTACCCAGATACATGAGGTACTCGACAACTTCTATACGCTCACTGCCCATTGTGGGTTCAGGTTCACGATTATGCCAGTCTTGTAAAAGTGCTTTGCTCTTCAAAGGTGCAAAACACATGCCGTACCTATCGATACTGACTGCCAACTGATTAGGTACGGATTCTATGGCTTGAGTACCATCGTATAGTAAAACAATATCATTCACATACTTAAGGTCGAAAAGTATTTCTCCAGGCAACTGACCCAAACCACCATTACCTACATACATCACAGCTCTTTCCAGAACATCGTCGATGGTAAATTTGACGAGGGACAGTAAGATTAGGCAACCCTTCCAAACCCCACTGCTTAAATGAAACAAAGGGGAGGAGAGGTGGTTGTACGCACTCACTCTGCCTGAGGTGTTTGTATTTAGGGCCTTCAAGATGTTAGTAAACCTTTCAGGCACGCTTCTTCAATAAACAATCCCAAAGAGTATTGCCCGAAGAATTGAACTATCGACTCATTCCAGGGTGTTGGAGCACTCCCTAATTTCCAAACTTTTGCAAACAACTCGGTTCCTTAACCAGGTTACCAGCTTCTATAAAAGGGGCCGGAGGTAAGTTGTCTGGGCCTGGTGATTTGTGGAGCTTCAAGAACTGCAGGTGCTCGCTGATCAGCCGCCATCGATTATAGAGGACAGGACAGTTTTATCAATGTCGCCAGGGTAAAAGACCAGTTGAACTGTCTCATAAAGAACTCTCCTCATCATCCAAGATGTCAGTAAATATAGTTGATTAGCAGCCCGTCAGCTTCACAGATTGTTGCAATCACACCAGAATTCTTGCTGCCAGTATCTTTGATGGACTGAACGAACTTTCGACAGTTACCAGATACAGCTGCTGCTTTCAACTCGTTAGCACGCTCCGACCGGCGTACGCGATGATGGAAAAACATCGTTTCTAACACCGATTTCTTCTCACTTTGGTGGGGCCTTTTAATCTAACAGCACATAATCTACTGATCATGGGGATCCAGTCCATTAGAGCTGTCTCAGCTCTAGTGCTTAGTGCGACACTAACGCCAGCGAAACCAGACAGAGATGCCACAGGGTCCCCAGATAAACGCACGTGAAACAAGCTTTTCGAAGCGACAGATGGAGAACGAATTTGTAGTGCCTAACTAAGGTCTTGAATATGGATCTCGGATGGACAACAGGCATTGATGTTGAGACTTTCTAAAGACAGACAACTCTATTTGTTGTCCGATGTGCTTTAGTGAGAAAGATGAATGAGGTTAGTTTGAATTTATTTATTTAAACAAATACATATTGGTACAAAAGGGCACCAGATACATATGAGCCACACAAAATAATGACAATAGGAAGAGAAAGGATGAAAAGATAAGGCGGACTAAAATGTACAACCAGAAGAGCTCTCTCCGTTAGGAAAGTTATAGCCACTCTTTATGAAGAAAGTAGAAGAAGGTTACAGCAGGATCGCCACTGACTTCCATTCTGAGCCATATCTGATAACGTCTCTAGCCACTGTGTTGCACCATCTCTTGGGCCCCAGCCAGGGAGTCGTGAAGGATTAACAGAAACTAGTCCTTTGCAGCTTTTTTTCATACCACGACACCATGTCATACACTGTCCTCCTCTTCGCTTTTTCCAACCAGTCCCAGAGTCGGCAAATAATGCACGACGTGGAATTCTCTGGGACGACATTCGTAAAATATGTCCAAGCCACCGAAATCGGTGTTTCAAGATGGTGACACCAATTGAATTATCATCCCTGCGCTCGAACACACGATGCCAAACCTCTGCATTACTAACATGGTGTTGCCACTGAATGTCAGCAATCCTTCGGAGACAACGATGATCGAACACAGAGAGACGTCTAACATCCTCAACTCGGAGAGGCCAGGTTTCACAAGCATAGAGCAAAACTGCTCCGGCAGTTACCAGATGCAGCTGCTGCTTCCATCTCATTAGCACGCTCCGACCACCAGGCTACTCGGTCTTTACGCAAGCTTTGCCCGATTTCACTACGTAACAGCCTTCGTTTGTGGTCAAACTCACAATCACACGGAGTAGACCGACGGGCTTCCATCAGTTGTAAGGAGCCAGAAGAAACCCAGTGCTTATAAGTGGGACGTTTCGCGAAGCAGTAAGCGGCTTTACTCGCCGTTTTCATGGCGTCGTGAAGATGCAATCAATGCTCATCTATACTTTTCGGTGGGATGGTAGCTAGCCTAGAAGCTAGCTCTGCTCGATACTTACTTGCAACAGAAGTTGCAGCCAGTTTACTAACATCGATCCGTTGGTGGCGGTCAATCCTTCGGCCACTGAAAAGTAAGGTGAGATTGGCGCAGACCAGGGCATGATCAGACTTTAGATAGGTACTCCAAAAGGAGATGCAGTCTTGTACACAACCACACCAGCGGTAGCTGATCGCGATGTGATCAATCTCAGTTCAGGCTTGGGATGCAGAGGGAGGACGCCAGGTGGCACACCGGCGATGACTGTGCCGGAAGTTAGTGCTAGCCAGAAATGGCATACGTAGTTTCAGAAAGACTGGTTGAGAATTCATATTCAGTGGTATCATTCAACTTTTGACCAGTCAGTGACTTAAGACCGTTTATATAGGACATGTTCAGCACCATATGCCAACTGCTGTATGGGTTGAAGGATAAAGAGATACACAAAATCTGAATAAAGGATACAGACAAGTGACGTAATGCAAAATAAAAAAGAGTATTAACAAATAGTTTTGAGTCTATCGACATAAATATTATGTAACACAGGTCGGAAATGAAAAACCTGGAAGTAGAAAGCTAAGAAGATCGAGTTGAAGAGAACAGAAAACGAAATAGAAAGGAATTGTGAATTGCAAGAATCATACAGAATGTGAACGACAAATGATGGTGGTAAACAATAAATTGGTCGTTCCCACCTGTGTCCTCATTCATTACACTAACGTAACGGACAAACCAGTGTATCCTTGAACTAAGGTGATAGGCAAAAATTAAGTCTAAGAGTTTGATCATAATCCATTGATGGCTAAGGGACTTACAAAGCTCATATCCTTTAATTCACTGTGATATATCACTCGACCACATTGGATCATCTGTCGACTAGCATTCTGTTTATTTATTTTACAAATTCAAAACTGTATGTTACATATCAAACACTCGAAACTAACCTATATAACAGAAGATGGAAACGAAAATCGATTGTGATATAAACTGAATAGGATAAGTGGACATCGCTATTCAATCACCTGAAGCAATCATAGGTTGAATTTGTTCACTTATCTCGTATAGATCTAAAATATCCAATGCTCTTTTGTGTTTTTAGTCTATACGGAAGAGATTTATAGTGAATGTAACACTGTTATAACAAATTACAAGTAGATTGAGCTATACTTACTAGATGATGGAGACTGTGGAATAGACTGACTTGGGTTGCTCGCTGGTGTTGTAGTAGCATTCATATAAGACGGATTAGATGCTTGACCTGGTATAGATGTAGACACACTAGAATGGTTAAGCAACCCAGTAGGTTGTCCATTTGCAAGGCGCCAATGAAGCATAGCGTCAGAAAGGATATCAGTCAGAAATTTTTGACCAGCTAGACTGATTAAACGGGCAAGCCGTGGATCGCTGTTCTCCATTTGCACACCAGCACTCTCTAACATAGCAATTGATAATCTGTCCGGAATCTAAAAATCGGTCGGGAATAAAAAAAAAAGGTAAATATAGAATGTTAAGAACCACAACCAGAATTATTCAGACACAGTTGAAGAAATAAAGGCAATCAAGCTTATGAGCTTTGATGATATAATAACTGATGTAATTAACCATTAACGATGGTACATGGTATTAAGTTTTCATAAAATGTTTTAACATCATGCAGTCATAGCTGCAGCCGAAAAGAAAAACATATATAAACTATAATCATTGTTCTGAAAAGTTATTATAACGACCATGTGTAGAGAACAACTCATTTTCGTTCATAAAGTTTAAATTCGTAAAGAAAACTTCCCAGGTCTATGTGTACAGAACTAACATATTTTGATTGAGACACATTGTTAATAAAAAAAATCACTTACTGTAGATTGAATGTGGTCAAGTTGAGTCCATAAATTGCTAAGAAGCACACCGCTAGTATTCTCAGAAGATGAAGATACAGAAACCGAAGATGTCGTTACGCTAGTTGTCTGACAACTATCCACAACAGATGTTATAGAAGTTTTTGGAGTCACAGTTCCAATAACCATCAAGATTATAACCGAAATATAATAGTCAGTCAGAAAATCTGAAGAAAAAAAATAACCAAACCGCCAAGAATTAAGCACGAATTATGTACTGAAAAATATTTTTTATAAATTGATAATTTAACTTAACTTGACTGAACCAGGAAATCAAATAAGAATAATTCTACAAAGATATTTCAATGAAGAGTATAAATGATAGATCGCATGGTTATAATAGTGTTGTACACTGCATATCATAGAAATATCCAGCAGCATACATACATGTTGTTCTGGCTTTATAGGTTTTTATTTCAAAGGTTGTAAATTATTTGATTTATACATTCACGTCTATTTTATGAAAACAAAAAACGATAGTGTAGAATCGGGAACGAAACTGTCATCCCATTTGATCAATTAAATAAGTTACCCTAATTTATCACTATTGCGTGTTTAAAAGACGGCAGCAACTGATCGGGAAATACATGTAATAATTACAAAATGTTTGATTTAATGCTTAACACGCTTAAAATGAAAATCTATATGAACATCACTTACACCTCAAGTAAAGTGGGATTATAGTGATGAAGAATGATTCAATATAGAGATTTTTAACAAGTTACATTAAGATACATAATAATAACCGTTGGTTAATCGCTTAACTAGTGGGTAGTATAAGTATTTTGTGCTTAGATATAGAAAAACAATCAACATTGAGGAAATGTTTATATTGGTATCATCTTTGCTTTAAATTAGAAAGTCGGTTAATGTTTATGTCAGTATGTTGCCCGTATGAGTTGATTTCCAACTGCATTTGCATCAGTATGTTAACTGCAGGAACAAAAATATAACCACGGGGAGAAAGAATCCCAACTAGTGTTCCAGCTTAATACGGTTTATTTAGTTGCAGGGAGATTTCTCGACCTCAATATTGTTTAACCGTGATAGGATTTAATAAAACTACTAATACATATGGACTGTTATAAAAAGTGCTTTATATACGCGGAAATAATGATAATGTGAATTTCGGACATATAGTTAACAGTAATTAGTCAAACATGAGACATGCTCTAGACTCAATGCTTTGATATGAACTGATTATTTATATTCATACTTACCAGCTGATGGTGCATACAAGTTAGTTGCAAGTATCGAGTTAAGCATAAGGTAGAAATCGACTTATTTGAAATAGTGATTATAAGTTGTTGAGATTGACAAAGCTTATGTGTCACAAATATAAGCGACACGACGTAGTACGATCCTTTCGGCTAAATAGATCATTGCAAGATGATAAACAATGAGTGCTGCTTATATGATTATCAGGGGGAGCATAAGTTGTACCCAAGGGGAGTACAATTCCCAACTCATGTCTATGATAATGTCAAGAACTTTTGTTAGTGTTAAGGTAAATTCAACTGTGATGATTTTAGTGTGCAGGTTTGCTCGACTGCTTATACTGATGATGTGCATGCATGATTGTGTTGATAAACCTCCAATTAGACTGATAGTGACTTAAGATGTTTACTTAATGAGCAAGTGATAGAGAAACTTACTGAAATCATTGATAACCACGAGAAAACAAAACTACTTAATGATAATTATAAGTCAATTTATCGACCGCGTTTGTGTTAATGGTTTCATGAATTTAACAATCATATTACATGATTGTCAAGTCATTATAATGCCTTATGATGATATCCGGAAAACATTATGAGTAACTACTTATAATGTTGATCGGTGATTAGCCAGTAAAGAAATATGTATTGTTTTTTTAAGTGATTCGGAAATATCAGAAGTCTATAACACAAACGAATCCGAGCTGCCTGATCATATTACAAATTGCAATCCAGAAATATTCATCTACTTAGTGTTAATTTTAATAGTAGGCTCCAGAGCTTATTTTGAATGCTTGTTTGACTTATAACTACGTGATAGTGTAGTCATTATGCCAGTACAGTACGACAATATCTTAATGCAGTGACTTTATTATCTTCAATATGTTGAACGTCCTTTTAGGTGACCAATATGATAGCCCCCAATGCCCTGATACGGCCGAGAGTGGGGAGAGTCTGCTCTCTCTCTCTCTCTCTCTCTCTAGACGCTCACATAGCCACGCATATATAGCCTCTGCCAGAGAAGTCTACTCATTGCCTTCTTGTGGTGGGGTGTTGTTTACGAAATTGGGAGGACGAAAAGCGAATGTCTGGAGCTTTAACCAGGTTGGTGGACACGTTGAGTCCACCTAGGGGAGTTGGAAAACCCTGATTCCAAACCAATGGTGCACATGGGCTCCAGTATCCTGAGGAAACAAATAGCGTATGAACCAATCGTTGGTCACCGGCTACCATGAGAATGCATCTTCTTACGATGCTCCACTGCCTTGTGGATTAGGTCTTCAGGTCAAAGTCTCCGGATGTGGTCCCCTAAGAAAACCACCTGCTTCGGTTTGGGCACCTGGGCAGTATCACAGCCCCCACACAAATCAAATGAGACTTGCGTGGAGCATATGTATCGGGTGCCCCTTTGTACCAATATTTGTGTTTAAATAAATAAATAAGTGATACATCCAAATACGTATAGCAATAACGACTATGATGGGTTTAATGGAAAATGTTAAAGGCGTTTCAAATAACTGTTGAATTCAAATGGCATAGAGATTATGTAATGCAACGAATGTACAAGCCAGGTTATTATGAACATTGGTAAAGAATATAACAATTAAAAAAAAGAAACCAGGCAGAAAAAAATTCAAAAGTTGGAACACGACTTATGAAACATGACGGGTATAATATAGGATTTTCACAAGCGGTTGCTGTAGTTACCCCCGAAACATTCATAAGTATGTATTAATGGTAATAAGAACTATGAAGTGCAAAATTTATGTTCGATTTAATATGGTTTTCTTGAGAACGATACACTTCCTGCCATAAATAAAGAGGAAAAAGGTATGAAACAACATTGAGACTCTATGCCACTGTTTAATGAGACATATTCGTCAGCTTTTTAAACCAATGAGCACGATTACCATGCGGGCTCCAACCAGGTAGTCTGAACCTATTAGTTATCAATCACCTAACGGATTGATGTCATATCTTGTTTTGAACACCCATAGCTTTCTTTCAACCTACTCCCAACGCAGTTAATATTGTGCACAGATGTAGGATGTTGATTGAACACATACAACACTTGTCCCAGTCCCTTCAATCAATGATTCAGAAGACTCGTTTGGGTTTGAAACGTATTAAAACTGAAGTAGAGTATAGGGATTTGCTACATAGTTTATTATTAGATACCTATGTTTGCCGAAGTGATGGGGTGATTTAGTGGTTAAACAAATCGATCTGTGAGTAACAGGTTTGAACCATGCTTTACCTACTTCCATCTGTAAAGTTGAATAGTATCATAAAAAGTGACCTGAAGTTTATATGGACTACCAGTTAGACATCCAGCTTCATGAGATTTTACCAGTGAATAAAGATATGGTTTAGGAGGTAGTAGAATAAGATTCGATCGACACATTTCATTATTGACTTAACTCAATTGTCACATTGAAAACATAAGTATGACATATAGATAATAGTTGTTTAACATAAACAGCTCGCAAAAAAGAACAAACAGGCAATGTCATTGGGATAGTTAGAACACAAGCTTCTTTGGAAATTATATTACAGTAAGGTATAGACCATAAGAAATGAAACAATACAAATTATTTTACGTCCTCGGAAGACAAATGTATTATTTTAGTTCTATCCCAGGATTGGTCTTCGGCCAAAAAGTTTTCCCGCAAGTGATTACCACATGATGCTTCTGCCCAACTGAATAATTTTTGCAAGAGACCGCGTGCAAGGAGACCACGTAGCCAAGGGGTGATGGATGATCTGCAGAAGTCGGAGTCTGAAGTTTTTGCTGTGTTCATATGATCTCTTGGGGAACACTTCATATAGTTGAAATCACTAAAAGTCATCCAACGAACGTCACTGACTTCATCAGGATTTAGTTTCATTAAGTCTGTATCTGGAAGATTTCGAGCTAGGTAAAGTAATAAACGAAAGATATATTTGCGTATGAATGGGAAGGTTGTGAGATATATGAAAGTACATTTTACAAAATCGGTTAGATATATTTCTAGAAGCCAGCTTACACAGTTAAATGGAACGTTTCCTACTTTTTACAAAGTCACATTATTTTAAAGACGTTTTTTTCCTATCAGTGTTGGAAAATCCAGTAGACACTGTGATTATGTAACCTATCGCATATAACTGAGTAATAAACTGTTTTATCTGGAAGCAAGAAACTGAGAAATGAGGGTCCCAATTTTATTTTCCTGGTTGAGGGAAAGGTGAAATAAGGTGGGACAACTCAACTATACCCTTTGATAAACATAGAGAAATCAATTCGACTAATATGCCTAAAATATTAGCCTTTATAACCATCTGATGCTTAGATGGAGCTCGTGTAGAGCAGACTCAGGGAGACCAGGCTCGTTAAAGATCTGGCGATGTATTGACCAAGTATTGAAATTTTGCCAAGATCTAGATCAGAGGGATATTTGTTGACGCCCAACTATAACTGTGTTTTCCAATCTTAAAGCGGTACTCGACTCCGTTGAGCGACAAGTTTTGTAACGGTATTTGTCAGTAAAAGGTGTCCTGAGAAAGTAAATTAACCTTGCGAAGGTTCCTCACCCAGACACAATTGGTAGAAACAGATCTTACGACAAACTATCATTGGAATTATGAACCTCAAGTGGTTTGCGTCAGGGTTGCTCATTATCCTTTTTAATTAGTTTCGTCATGTCTATGTAAAAACCACAAATTCCTCATTTAACTTTTCAGGGGCTGATCATAATAGAAACTCACTAAACGACATTGAGTAAGATGACAATCCTATGTTACGAAGACATACAGACGGTTTGCACCATATTACTCTACAGACGTGAAATTTAGGTTAAATTGTAGAATATATGCGTAGGCTAAAGGCTTTTGATAATAGGTGTTTTCGAAGCATTGCTTGCCTATCATGGAACG